CAAATTAGATGGCCCGAATGTATTGGCTAGTTTTAGAAAGGCTTTTAAAGAGTATGTGAGACAAGAGTTTAAATGTCACTCAGTTGGAAAGATATTTTAAGAAGGTTTTATCTTAACTAAAATTAAGAAAAGCTTTAAGAAATTTAGTGATTCACTTATTTGAAATTATTGTTACAAATTATGGGAGTATTCCTTCTTATATTAAAAAAAAAAAAATGTTCCGCAAATTTTAAGAAACCCCAGTAAGTATAAGTTAAAGTTTAAGCTACAGTGGCGGCCTCATAGGAGGGTCGTCACAGAAGCAACAACAAGGGGAGAGGAAAGCCAGCCTCCAAAGGTCTTGACACAAATAGGAAGTGTTTCTTTTGTAAGAAACCTGGTCACTTGAAGAAGGACTGCTATGCGTTTCAAAGAAAACAAAAGGAGAAGCAGAACTCCTCGAATGGAAATGATAACCATGAGTCGGCCAATTTCAGTGATGGATATGAAAGTGGTGAGGTGTTGGTGGCAGTAGACAACATTGAGAGCCAAGATTGGATACTTGACTCGGGGTGCCCCTATCACATGACCCATAATAAGTCATGGTTAACTGATTTCAAGAAGATAAATGGTGGGAAGGTAATGATGGGCAACAGCCACACTTGCTAGGTGGAAGGAACATGGACAATGTCAATAAAAATGTTTGATGGAATAGTGAGACAACTACGGAATGTGAGATATGTCCCTAGCTTGACAAGGAGCCTCATCTCACTTGGAATTCTGGATGATTCAGGCTACATCAACAAGATTGAAGGTGGAAAAATGAAGGTCGCCAAAGGCTCAATGGTGGTGATCAAAGGGGTTAAGAAAGATGGTCTCTATTATTTGTTAGGAGAAACTCTAACAGGGAAGACATCGGTGGCCATTGCTCCTGAAAACTCTAAAGCAATATTGTGGCACAACAGGCTGGGGCATATCAATGAGAGAGGCATCAAAATCATGGGTGACTAGAAACTTCTTGGCAAGGACAAGGTAAGCAAAATTGATTTTTGTGAACACTGTATCTTAGGAAAACAACACAGACTCAAGTTCAGCATAGGGACTCATGAATCAAAAGGGGCATTGGAGTACGTGCATGCAGATCTCTGGGGTCCAGAAGCCATCACAACGCATGGAGGCAACTCTTATTTTTTATCTATAGTTGATGACTTTTCAAGGAAAGTGTGGGTTTACTTACTTAAAACTAACGATGATGCATTAAATAAATTTAAACAGTGGAAAACCCTACAGGAAAATCTTACAGATAGGAAGCTAAAAACTCTTAGAACTGATAATGGGTTAGAATTCTGTAATAGCCAATTTGATAATTACTGTGTTGAGATAGGGATCAAAAGACATAGAACAGTAAAGAAAACTCCACAGCAAAATGGAGTTACTGAAAGAATGAATAGAACCTTACTTAATAAATCTAGGTGCATGTTGTTCCAATCTGGGTTACCTAAGATTTTCTGGGGTGAGGCAGTTGTTACTGCTGCCTATTTGGTAAATAGATGTCCCTCAAGTGCCATTAATTTTAAAACCCCGGAGGAAATATGGAGAAATAAACCACCAGACTTGTCTCATTTGAGAACCTTTGGTTGTGCAGCCTATGCACACCAAAGGGAAGGTAAACTGGATCCTAGATCCATTAAATGTGTCTTCTTAGAATACCCTGAGGGCATAAAGGAATATAGGTTATGGGTTAGAGAGGGCAGGGGTTTTAAGACCATAAACAGTAGGGATGTCATTTTTAATGAATCAATTTTTCCTTGCCTGTCTAAGACTCACACTGCTGCAGGAAAGAGTATTTCTGTCACTAACCCTACAAGTACAATAGAAACACAAGTTCGGGTGGAGCAGGAAAATGCAAATCATCCTCAGGTGGAGCCTCAGAATGGTGATCAGCTTCAAGGGGAACAAACGTCTCAGCAGGCAAATGGAGATTCTCCCAACCTATAACTAGAAGATGACCTTCAAGATGTTCAAAACATCACCACAAATGATTACCAATTGGTAAGAGACAGGGAAATGAGGCAGATTAAACCCACTCAAAGATATGGGTTTTCTACCTACACAGATTTGCTTGCATATGCCTTCATGACAGCAATAGACATTGATAGAAAGACCCAGCCACATACAAAGAAGCTATCGAAGGACCAGAATTAAAGCTGTGGGTCACAACAATGAAAGAGGAGATGAATTTACTGTACAAGAATGAAACCTGGGAAATGGTTCCCAGGCCTAAGGGTCAATCCGTTGTTGCTTGTAAGTGGATCTATAAACTGAAGGAAGGGCAGCCAGGTATTGAGCAGTTTAAATACAAGGCAAGGTTAGTTGCCAAAGGTTTCACACAGAAGGAGGGAATAGACTTCACTGAAGTGTTCTCTCCTGTGGTCAAATACAAGACCATTAGAATCATGCTCTCTATGGTAGCTCAGTTTGATTTAGAATTGGATCAAATGGATGTTAAAACCGCATTCCTGCATGGAGAGCTTGAGGAAAGGATCTTCATGGAACAGCCATAGGGATTTGAAGTCCAAAGAAACAAGGATATGGTCTGACTTTTGAAGAAATCATTGTATGGGCTTAAACAGTCACCCAGACAATGGTACAAAAGGTTTGATACCTACATGACAAAGCAAGGGTTTGAAAGGAATTGGTATGATGCTTGTCTATATTTTAAAGGTTCAGACATCCTTAAAGCTGAATATCTACTCCTATATGTGGATGACATGTTACTAATCAGTAAAGACAAGGAAAAGGTGTTGAAAATGAAGAAAATGCTCAAGTCAGAATTTGACATGAAAGACTTGGATCCAGCAGGGAAGATTCTCGGAATGAAGATCAACCGAAATAGAATGAAGTTTACTGTATTCCTTAGTCAAAAGAATTACATGGAGAAGATAATGGAGAAATTTGCAATGCAGGGCTCTAAACCAACTTAACAGCCAATCACAAGTCAATTTCAGCTGTCTTCACTCCATAGTCCAAAAGATGATGAAGAGAAGGCCTACATGGAGAAAGTACCATACGCAAATGCAATTGGATCAGTCATGTACTCTACTAGGCCTGATTTGGCATTTGCAATAAGTACATTAAGTAGATACATGTCAAATCCAGGGAGGGAGCATTGGAAAGCCATGAAATGGCTTCTAAGGTATATTGGTGGAACAGTTGGATATGGGTTGCACTACAAAAGACATGTAAGCAAGGTAACAATGGAAGGATTCGTTGATTCCGATTATGCTGGGGATGAAGACACCAGGAGATCTACTACTTCTTACTTCTTTATGGTTTGTGGAAATTGTATAAGCTAGAAAACACAACTACAACCAGTGGTTGCACTCTCTACAACAGAGGCTGAATACATGGCAGCTACAGAGGCAATCAAGGAAGGAATATGGCTACAGGGATTGCTTAGAGAGTTGAAATTGATTGACCATAATGCAATCATCTACTCAGACAGTCAGAGTGCCATTCATCTATGTAAGAATCCTGTATTTCATGATAGAACAAAACATATTGAAGTAAAGTATCATTTTATCAGGGAAAAGGTTTCTCAGGGATTGATAAATGTTGAAAAAGTTCCCACATAAGAGAACCCATCAGACATGGGAACAAAGGTAGTTACATTGAGCAAATTTAAGCATTGTCTTAAATTGCTTGGTATAGACAACGGGTGATTGAAGAACTAAAACGAGCCAGGATCCAGAGGAGTGAAGAATGATATGCACTAATTGGTCATACATAGAATTGTGGTGGAGATTGTTAAATCAATTCTATTGTGACTCAGTTTTTGAAGTTGATAAACACTGGTTTTATTGAAGGCATAAACGGCAAGTTGTTTCTGTTGGGATGCAAACTCGGAAGACTCTTGAAGCTGACATGGGCAAGTGAGGCACAGGTGGCAGCTTGTCATTGGACCGTCTTGCTTGGACTCCAGATAAGATAAATTCCTTTGATGTAATTCAATAATTACTTATTCTTCTTCTTCTTGCTTCTTCGAAAGAATTCCAGAGAGAGAAAAATTTTGTACAAAAAGACCCTAAGTTGAGAGAGATGGTCTATAGTGAGAAAGGTGTGAGAAAGGGGTGATTTTCTTGGGGGATTTCTTGCTCAGTTTCTCGGGAAACTTTAGGGTGTGAATTTCTGGAAGTTTGTAACAGTTTGTAACCAGTTTGTTCTTATAGTGCATATCACACTTCCTCTGGGGAGTTCACGGAGATGTAGGTGGGATTTCACCGAACTCCGAAATCAATTGGTGTGTTCTTGTTTGCTTGTTTCATTTCTATCTTTGATTTGGTAAGATCGAGATTGGTGTTGGTTTAATTTCCAACAAGATCCAACAATTAGAAAACTGGTCTTACTGGTAAGACAACCTATATACCGGAGACATTCCTAAACTATTTAGGGTAGAATATAAAAAATATATACCTTACTATTCAAAACAATACGAATTGAAATCCACGGGAAGTTAGCGGGGGTTTATTATAAGTGAGTTGGATCATAGTAAAGTTAGCACGATTAATAAAATTAATAAATGGGCTGATGAAAGGTATTATCTTTCAGTGAATTGAACCAATTTTTGTACATTAAAGCATTCAAGTGCCAAACGAAGGGATGAAAGGATGAATCAGAATGGGAAATACGAGGAAGAAGGCTATGTAAATTTGTTCCTCTTTTCCAGCTTTTTTATCAGCATAATCTGTATAAGTACTTTTTATTTCGTTTAGTTTACATGACGCATCCGACGGAGCGATACGTCGCATTCCCGATAAAAAGAATTAATACAACTTTATCTTACGATTTCAAAATATAATTAAGATAACGAATGATACAAATAAATTTAGAGGGGCAAATTTGTCCTTATAAAATCAACATTGAGGGAATATTTTCAGAAGGGTTTTTTTTTTTTTTTTTTAAATTGAAATATTTTTTTTTTTTTTTTTTTTTTTTTAACATGCAATATTAATTAAGGATATGTAGAACATATACAGATTATCAAGAGTAATACAAATATCACAAACATGTCCTTGGTATAGGCATGTTCACCATACCACACGCAGTTCTAATATATCCATATGCATTAATTCTTACATGTAGATCCAATATTATCAGTGAAACCTATATATCTTTATGATGAGTCCAAGAATTTATCCACTTTGACATTAGCTGCCCTTGAAAGAAACTTCATGCAAATCGGTGGCTTAACCCCAGCAACCGCAAGTATTGAAGCAGGCAATGTCCAAATCCCATCACCACATATCAAGCCCGAAGCCACAGCGGGAACTAAAGCATCCGCCTTGGCCTTGTTCAACTTTTCCCACACAAACACGACCAAGCTTCCAACACACATATCAATGGCGAAGTATGGCCCTATGTAGAAAGGTATTGCCATCGCCATTGGAATAGGAATAAACCTTCCCTTTTCCTTCCCCAAGAAGTCCTTAACAAGGTTGATCGAAACCGCCGCAGCAAAAAATATGAAACAAAGCGTGAGGCAATAATTCGGCAACGAATCGAACCCTTCTACACCGAGTATCGCCATGTTACGGTACACAACAACATAAGGGGCAGGATATTGACTGTCAGGATCCCCAAGGTCTTTAAAAGCCTTGAAAAAGAGCCAAAAGACGCAAGGAGAGATTACGCAGCCCATCCCGGTACCGATGACTTGGCTAACAAACATCGAACGAGGAGAAGCTAGGGTTAGGTATCCGGTTTTGAAATCTTGGGTTAAATCCGAGGCTGTTGAGACAATGTTCATCATGACCCCACATGCTGCTAGTCCAGCAAGAACCCCACCATGGGAGGAACCGGCCCATGCTCCGATCGTGAAGATGGCGAGTTTTCCGTAGGTGGAAGCAAGGGACCAATCTGTGAGTCCGCAGCCATATGCATTGCAGAAAGCCAAGGTGGGAGCGAAGATGTAAATAACCAATATGTAGTACCATTTGAGTTGGGGGAAAATGTGCGGAAGAGTTGCTGTCGACATTGCTGCTATCGCAACATAGCCTGCAACAGCAAACCATGTAGGAATTTGGTCTTTAAGAAACATTTGTGTGCGACGTCGATCGTCGAAAGAGAGGCGATTATCTTCTTCGGGATTTGTTTTAAGAGTTTGACGATCTGCAGTGGGGAGAATGATAATGTCCTTTTGTCGGAGCTGACTAGACAATGCGTAAAGTGTTCGGCTAAAAACCTTGAAGAAATTGTACAGCCCATCACCAAGGATCACAGCAATGGCAATGAATACCTATATAATTGTAAAAGGGAGGTTAGTGTTACAGTCTTCAATCAGATTTAGGTTTGTAATTATATGGAATACTTTAACGGATAATTAAGAAGGTCTAAGAAAGTTAATAGAAAGATTATTCAATTCGGCAGGACCGGTTCTACGTGTAAGATGTATGACTTTAGATATAATAAAATGTTTTTCACATATCATTGTTACGAGAATAAATATCCTATTACACCCAACTTCTAAATATATAACACGTGCATGCTTAGTCTTGATCAATTATATATTACGTGAATAAATGCCATATTGAAGAATTGAAGACAAATCTAAGGCTGTTATAACTGGGTCTTAAGATTAAATCTTCCCTTGTTTATGTTCAAATTAAGCTTTCTGAAACGCTTCCGAGATCAGAAGTGGAGCTAACAAATTTTTCATTGGGGATACTAATATGAAGAAATAAACATAATTTTTATTAACATATTAGTAGGAAAGCATTTTATAATTTTTGTTATAGAGTGGAAGAATAATATGAAAGTTATGATATATTTAAAGGTTATAAAACGGAATTTCTAACTGCGAAAAGGGCGAATGTTTACGTGATTCCGCCGCCGTTTAGAACCTAGCTAATTTTTGAAGCTCTTGCAACCGGAAAAAGCTATTTTAGAAACTGTAGTTGAGTCATTACTCAGATTAGATGCCTTATGATCATGTAGAATTACTCACCCTGTAACCTTGAAGGCCATTCATGCTATTAGGTGCAAGGTCCGAAGGGTACCAATCACCTTTTTTGGTATCAATTAGAGGCCACATAATACCCCAAGAAAGAATTCCTCCGAGCAGGACTGATATGTTTACAATGTGAGGGCAGATCATCCCTGCTCCTATGTAAGCTGCGGAGAAGTCAAAGTAAAACCTGCATACATAAAATAGTAACGCATTATTCCAAAAGCGATCAGTTAAAAGCAACAAAATTTGATGCTTATATATATATATATA